TTCAATATTTTTAAAAGTGATTTACAATATTAAAATATTACATAACYTAAAGTCTACTGGGAATGGTTACGGAAGAACTCGTTCATCCTTTCTTCCATTGCCCGCATGGCGGTCATCTGTTCTTCCATTGCCCGCATGCGGGTCATCTGTTCTTCCATTGCCCGAATGCGTTCTGCATCTTCTGCGCGTTGTGCCTCCATCACGGTCACCCGCTCGAGAAGCTCGGCGTTCTGTGCCCTCAACCTACCATCTGCGTGAAAGCGGTAAGAATTAACGGATGTGGAGGAACTGTCTTCCGGGAGGCCAAACACACGACCTTTGTTCTTAGGCGTAACCTACGATAAAAAATAAATCAATCAATGTTCTAACTTGTTTGTATTCAAATTTATTTTAAATTTGTTTAAATTTGACAGTGTTACTAACCTSYTAGGTGAACTCGTTGATCWTCTCGAGTGGAACTTCGGTGGCCGGYGGAGTTCCTTCGACGATCGGTTGGGATTGGASGTACTCCTCACCGAGCRTCTCCACGCTTTCCACGATTTCACGAGCAATGYCATCTTGAATTTCACRAGTCTTTCTGTTGGTGTGCGCATCTTTYATCAAATCAAGATGTGACGGACGCACACCGGTCTTCTCAATCTGTTGGCATAGATAAGGAAGGAAATATGAGAGGGGTTATAAATAAAATTTTGGAAAATTTAGAAAATTACCAGTTTTTCAACACGTGACGCTTTGCTCGTTGCTCCGAGGTTATGGGTCGCCGGTCCCTTCCCCTTCCGGTCGCTGTTCCGGTTAGTCGAGTTTTTTTCCAGAGCTCGCTTTAGTGTCCTCCCGTTCCCAATGGACAAGTAGTCCAGCCCATAATGTTGGGTTATCTTTCATAACCCGAGGCACCTTTCCTTCTTTGAACCACATGTCTTTCTCGTTCATCTTCAACGAGTACTTTCAACTGGCCTTTTTGTGGAACTGCCGTCGGACCTGAGCAGTCAACTATGGGTCCCAGTTAAATTCTTGCTGAAAAAAAACAATATAAGATTAGTATTGACAATTTGAATGGAAATAAAAATCTACATTCTTAATTGGGAAAAAAAAAATACCGCAAATTGCCGAAACCAGGTCTCCTGGTCTGCCACCGGCATCGAACTGTATGTGGGATACGGTTTAGTTATCAACGAATTTATCATTGCGTTGATAGAACTTGTAATCCCGTTTCCCGAATATTGAAACCTAAACAATATTTAGTTAAATATTTTATTAAGTTAATATAATCAAAAACATTTTTAAATAAAACTTACCAGGTCGTGTTAGGTGGCAAGTGAGGATCTAGGCGAGTCAACCTATCCCGTCCAGGTTGCGAAACAAACTCCTCAATGCTCATGGCCGTGGGAGCTGAGGGCTCTGTACCCATAGGAGGAGACAGGTGTTGGGGATCCGGAAAGTACGTCTCGGGGATATGCGACTGACTCCCACTCCGACCTCTCCTAGTGGAAGTACCAGATCCACTAGAGTGATGAAATCGTCCATAGTCCCTACGATTGCCAAAATTTTAACATACCG